TTTAAATTCTGAAAGTTTCAAATCTGTTTTATTTTTACAGTTTTCAAATATCCCCTGAGATTCTTTACTACTAACTATTACTTCTTTCCTTTCCTGTAGATCTATAACATGTTGCAGTTATTTCCAAATCTTTGTCAAGGAATTCCAGCATTTGGGTCGCCTGAAAGTTTGTTTCTATTTACTTTTCCCCCCTTGATTACTGGCCCTGTTTGCCTATTTGCATATCTTTTAACATTTTGTTGTATTCCCTGAAGTAGAAGTCATGGATAAAGTGAAAGGGTAGTACGACACACTTGTGCACACACGTGCACACACACACACATTTCCCACCAACCCAGGGGAAATAACCTTCCCCCTGCTGGGATGTGGGGGCTAGGGGCTGAGCAGTTTGGTGCAACCAATCAGAGGGAGTGTTGTGCCGCAGCCTGAAGACTGCAAGACTGTGAGACTGTGATTCTTCTGAACTTCAGAGTTCCGGAGAGTAGAAGACCGCCAGGTCGCTCTGGAGCTGCAACAGGGGGAGGGCTCTTCTACGTTCCAGCTGCGCCCCAGCCTCTGTTCTCCTGGAATATTCCCACCTAATTTGGGGTATCTTCGCATTTAGGTTTGTCCATATTCAAAACTGAAGCATGAGACTAGAAGTTTATCAGTTTGGGGCTGTTGCCCCTAATTCAAGCAAATCTGGGTGTTTTAGGCCCTCCTCTCTCCCACACTGCCTCTCAGTGTCCTCAGCAGATCCCAGATGCAACATCCTCTGTCATTTGTTCACCCAGGGAGGGCCTGTCCTTGCAATTTAGATCTTTCATATGTCTGTACATCCCTGACTTTGATACCTTTAGGAACGGTATGACATTTTAGATTATCCAGTAGTTTTTTATGTTTTAGCAGAGATGAAAGGTCCCTTCTCATCTTACCTGGAATTGGAGTTCTGGATGAAGTATTCATTAGCCTCGAATGTTTTCCAAGCAATTCTTCAAATTATCTATTCTGTTGTTTAAAAAATATATGAATATACATATCCTGCCTGTATGTATATTGACTCCATTCTCATTTTTTAGTTTATGTTATTAGTTTCTTCCAGCATGTTGACCTGAAAGGTTTGTTCCTTATTTTTATTGTTTTTTTCTTTGTAAGAGTCTTTTATGTCAGTGAAGTGTACTCTGAGGAACATGTTGGATATTCATGTACTATGTACATAAATTATATTTTTGATAAAGCACATCTTTGATCAAAAAGATCCTCTTTCTCCTTGTTGAATATGTTTTAAAAAATGTATATTGAAGTAGTTTTAAAGTAAAATATTAAGTAGTATAACTCGTACACAGAAAGGACAAAACATAAGAATGTAAAGAGTGTAATATATATTTTCCAATGTTATGGAGACAGTACATGTTACCATATATTTTGTAGCCATATTCTCTGAGAAAGTTCCCACCAGTGAGGTGCAGACGTGCCCTCTGGCAGTGAATGTAACAGAAGACCTTGTGATCTCTGGTTGGAATTAGGTGTAAGTGGCATATAATGACCATTAGATACTGAAATCGTTCATTCATTCTCTGCCAATTACACCTAGAGGCCTTTTTGGCTGATATGAGGCATAATAAAACTAAATGTTACTCACACGTTGTTCTTACACATACATTCTTCTGTTAAATGGCTTTTAAATGTGAGTCTCATGGAAAGTTCAATTTTATGATATATTTTATTTGACTGATAATTCTTATTTGAATTTTCCCATTTCAACTTTAGCAAAGCCCTTTGAACCCAGAGGCTTTCCTGCAAAGGACACTTCACCCCTTTTAAATATAAAAGTTACTTCTACTCCGGGAAGATAAAATACACATGCTTTGCCTTATTCTTCCCACTAAGCACAACTAAAAACCCTGGATGTTATGTATACTCGTATTTTTAAAAACATGAGAAAAAAGAAGGCAGGTGCGCATGTGAGCTCTGGATCCGAGTGGCCGCTTAACAGTGAAAAGCCCAGAAAGCCTGGGCTTTCTTCTTGCCTGGTAGACACCACAACTAGAGGTGAAGGTTGCAGAACCCTGGAAACACCAAAGGGCACAGGCAATAGACGCCCTACAAAAGGAACAGGAAAAAGCAGCCTTGCTAGACAGAACATCTTGAGACAAAAATGCTCTGTTCCAGCCAAACACCACATAAAAGCCTGTGGGCCCGCCCATGCCCACACCAGCCAAGCCTGAGGGTAGAACCTAAGCATCTAGCCTCGCTAGCCATGATGAGGAGTGCAGCCCCCAGACCGTGTGGTGTCAGATGAGGACACCCAGCAGTCACAAGGCCACCTCCCTCAAAAGCCATCAGCAGAGACCACGAGGGGAACAGTGAAGAGGCACTCTTACCTCTCCCAGTCAAGAATTCATCAGTGGAGACCTACTGAAGACCAGAAATTCTTTCCCCAGCAGTATTGAGTCACCTCCTCCCCTGTTGTTAATAGAAGACAAATGGGGAACCTAACCTTCTACCTCCAGGTGACAGTAAGAGGGTAGAGCTCACCCTGTCCCCATGGAGCAGTCAGAGGAACCCAGCTAAAATAACCAATTTAAATACAACCCAGAGATCCATAACATAAAAACAAAAGGATCCAGATTTCAATTGAAATAATTTGTCATAACAAGAACCACAAAATTCCCAAAGAAAATGAAGGAAGACAATAGATGACAACACTGGGAAGACAGAGATGTCAAAATTTCAGACTTTAAAATGGACATTATAAAAATGCTTGAATAAGCAACTATGAGTACACTAAAACACATGCAAAATAAAATAGCAGATTTAAGCCTATCATGTTGCACGTTAAATGACAATGGTCTAAATACCATTAAAAGACAGAGATTGGCAGACTCAAAAGCATGACCCAAATATATGCCATCTACAAGAAATATCCTTCAAATAAATCAAGGCAGGTTGATAATAATAAGATGGAAAAAGATATATCATGCAAATACCAGTTAAAAGAAAACAGGTATAGTTCTATTAATATCAAATAAAGTAGACTACAGAGCAAAGATAATTACTAAATTCATAAATAGACATTATATAGTAATAAAAGTTTCAATCCAAGAAAACTACAATCTTAGATGTGTATGCACTAAACATTGTAACAAAATATCTGAAGCAAAACTCATAAAACTAAAAGGAACATTTAAAAATTAATTGTAGTAGAAGCTTTCAATACTTCTTTCTCAACATCTGGTAGAAAGACTAGACAGAAAATTAGAAAGAATACAGTAGAACTCAACAACACCTTTTGCCAGCCATATGTAATTGGCATTTTAAAACACTCGACACAACAACAGCAAGATTCACCTATGTCTTAAGGGCCCATGGCATAGAGACCAAGTAGGTAATATCTCGGGCCATAAAAATAACCTCAAAAATGTAAAATAATTGAAATTATATAGTGTGTGTTATTTGATCACAATATGATCAAACTAGAAATTAAAAACATAAAAATAACAAAAATGTCTCCAAATAGTTGAAAACTAAACTCTACACTTCTAAATAAGCTATGGATCAGAGAAAAGGTCTCAAGGGAAATTAAAAGAAACACATTGGACTAATGAAAATGAAAATTCCGCATAGCAATACTTGTGAGGCACAGCTACAGGAGTGCAGGATGGAGATTTATAGAGCTAAGAGCAAACATTAGAAAAGAGAAAAAGTTTCACACCAATAATCTAAGTTACCACCTCAAGGAAAACAAACTCAAAACAAACAGAAGGAATGAAATAATAAAGATACCAGCAGCAATCAATGAAATTGAGAACAGAGAAACAATAGAGAAAAATCGATGAAGACTCAGTCCTCTGAAAAGATCAATAAAACTTCTTGCAAGAATGATAACGAAAATGAGAAGATGCAAATTACTAATATTGAAAACTGGGGCTGTCACTACAAACTCTGCAGATATCAAAAGGATAGTATGTGAAAAATTACAAACTGCTCTGCAAATAGGGTGCACTTCTTTGAAAACAACAATTTTAATACAATTGCAAATAAATTGCATTTGCAAAAAAAAAAAAAAAGACTTTGTGTTATTGCTTGGATCCTGACCATGTAAGACGGCTGTGTTCCAGGGAACAAAGGCACACACACCTTCGTTTGCCAGATTAGAGCAGTGCCCCAACTCTGGTGTACCTCATGCAGCCTTAGCCAACAAAACTTTCTAGGCATCTAACATCCAACATGGTGACTCAAGTTAATATTACTCTGTTGTATCCTGGAAATCTTCTAAGAGAATAAATCTTAAATTTCCTTACCACAAACACATACACACACACAAATATTAACTATATGAGGTGACAGATGTGTTCATTTGATTGTGATAATTGTTTCACAGTGTATACATATATGCAGTAAAAATAAACAGTAAAAAGCTACTGCTGTGTTGCAATCACAAGTAGAAATGTTGACAAGTCAAGAGCTTTTTCTTGGGAAAAAAAAAGAGAACACATTGTTTTCAGTGGTTTTTAAATTTTTTTCTGCTGTTTTTTTCCTGTGCTTCTTTCACCATAATACACTGGTAGCCTAAATTGGTTAGTATTTTTGCTAATACTTCTTTCATACTTTCCTTTGGTAAGTGTTTCTACTCATTGCTTTTATACTTGCTTCAGCTGTACTCATTGCCCTATGATGGTTTACATTTTATTTTTCACATACAGCTCTGTATGAGGCTGTCCAGTAAGTGTTGGTAGACCTGGGTTCAAGTACATCCAAATAGCTCTCACATTGCCACACAAATGAACATTCTACATTACTTAAAATAAAAGTTGTAAAAGCACAGTAACCCAAAAAGGAGCTGAGTATTTTTTTCACTTTCAACTTCCAGGAAGTAGCCCTAAAAATTTTGGAGAATAGAGTATACCTTTTGAAAAATTTCTTTTCTTTTTTACAAATTTTTCTAAATTTTCTTTTTTTCAAAAATTTTGGTCCTAGTACTATGAGTCCTTATCAACAGCACCGAGAATTTAACTTACCATTTCTCTTATGCAAGTAGAGACTCCAAGTGCACACAGACCCTCGCTGCCAGCCATGATTTTCCAGAATGCTTGGGGTGGTCCTGTCAGCTTTTGCTCTGGACTTTTGCTGCACATGAAATAAAAAGATATTTTTAACACAGAATGTGTGATAACATTGCTTTTATAAATATATGGTATTCGTTGAATTATTTGGCAGTGTCTCTTTTGGCAAATATTTCATTAAAAAAAAAAAATAAATCTGACACCAAGGGTGGGCAACCTTTCAAATCTGGGTTTCCAGCGGCCATCCTCCTGCGTCATTGGAAATTAGGGTGAGGGTATGAATAGTGCTCCGGAGAGGGTGCACGTAGCAGGCTCATCGGGAACTGCAGCAACAGCAATCATAGTTGTGGCTACAGAAATGATCAATGATTTGCCCTCAGGCATAATGCCACTGATAATTGATTTCGAGTCACCATTGAGGAAGGACGTTGATTTCTATATTGTATAATACGTCCTTTAGAAGGTCACAGCATTAAACTTTTACAATCTGTTTTTTGTGTTCTTAATGTTAAGCATGTCACGCTTCTCTGTACTGTCAGCTTTTTAATTTATTTTTATAGGAATCCTTTTCCTGCCACGCCAAAAGATGCAGGCACGGACATAAAAAGTTCACGTTTAGATGTAGAAAGTCTAACTCTAGAACCATGTTTAAAATGACATAACCTCAGAGCTTCATTGTTTTCAATTTTCACTAGTGTCTGCCCTTTGCAAAGACTGATGATACTTAGAAAACATTATCCTTGCTATCAGAAAATGTCCAAGTCTTACTAAAATAAATCCTTTCCTTACCGTTTATTGGTGTTAATTTTACCCTCCTTTCCTTTCCAATTACTGTTATAGGTTGTTTCCCTTGTTAATTTAAGTGATGGGAGTCCTTTGTTCACTATAGCAGTCGTCAATGCGGGGAGAATGAGTCCGTATCCAATCAATGTCTACTACAAACATGATAGATGTAATATAGCTGCATATTCTGGTGGAAAAGATTTCCACAGGCTTGCACCTTTGCTAAATGTTCTTCTTTTCCTGTTTTTGAATAGCACAATTGCTTAGAAAATTTAATAGAAGTAAAACACATGTGGTACCACCAATCAGAGGTGTTAAGAGAAAGAGTCCACAGATTTCATCACTTTATTGCTTGCAGGGATTCTAGTAAGGATGCTGTTCATTATGACACAATATGCCCATGGACATCCCCTAGGAAAAATATACTTACTTTTAGAATCACCAAGTGTTATGCTTATCCTGAACAATTGCCTTGTTTTTTTTACCTTGCGGAATTTATTAATTAAATGGCTTGTCCTCTGACACAGCTGGCTAAGTCTCCACTGCATTATCTGCCCAAAAGCTGCGAGACAAACGTATGGTCCAACTAAAACAGGGATCCTCTAGCTTTGACTATAGATTTTAGAAACACTTTTGAAATTGAAAAAAAATCTAATGTTTTGAGGAGCCGCCCTCAGGGGGCCAATCAAATCAGACTTTCAGCAGGGAGGGACGTGGGTATCTGTATTTTTAAGCTACTTAAATCATTTTAATTGGCAACTACAGTTGAGAAGCACCAACATCAGCCAAGCTATTCATGATCAGGAGTTTTTAGTTGCGTACTTGTGCCTCTACGTGTCTGTTTTGCCATTGATTTTAATGTACCTTCTTATAGTTGATACATTCTTACAAGCTGTCTTGCATAATTTTCATAATCCAATAAATAATACAGCATTATTGATCTGAGCAGAGAAAAGTATGCTCCAGAAGAAATTTGACTTTGGATCTTGAATTAGGAAAACAAAGTACAGAATTCTCTCTGCTGCCTTATCTGTCCACGAATTAATTTAGAAGATAAATGGTTACATATTTATTTGAATTTATGTGTTTTTTTTCAGGCTGGGTAATATTTATTAAAATGTAAAATACAAATAATAAACGTCATAGAGTGCTTCTAATAAAGGTTATATTTATAGAATGTAACAAAATGGAATTAAGACAAAAATATCTTGCACTTAATAACTGGTACAAATAAAGCAATAGAGCTCAGAAAAAATAGTAATCTCAATTATTTATAATTCCCTTATACTAATATTTTTGACACTGTATAAAGCCACAAATGTACATGTTTCACCCCAAATGGTAATCATAAAATCAATAATGCCACAACCCAATAGAAGGTAACATGCATGGGGGCAAAATATTAGCCCCAAACTTAAAAAGAGTGCTTGGCATATAGGTGCTTAATAAATATTTGTTAAGTGTATTAATACATATAATGCATATATGAGAAAATATAAACACAATAAGCAATTTCTATTTTTTACTCACCATCTAAATATTTATGCTTATATAAGTATCTTTGTGTATAGAAAGAAACACAGAATAAAAAAGAATATTCAGTCAAATTGGGAAGAAATGTAATATATTTCAAAGTGATTGACTATACAACAGGAAGGAAAAGGAGAAAATATGTGTTCATCTTTTCATAGGTCTCAAACTTACCATTTATTCTGTTTTCAAAGAACAGGAGGAAAAATCCTGTTTGACAGAGTGTGAATTACAATGTATAACTTAGAATTTTAGCATTAAAAAGTATACTAGTCAAGGTAAAATAGTTGAAGGATTATAACCATCCACTGACGGCGTTTTTTAAAAAAATATTTGCACAAGACGGGGGTAGAGAAATATGGAGATTCTATTTTAGGCTAAAAGCCTATTTTATAGTCAACTGCCACTTCATAAAGGGGCCTTGCGTCAGAAAAGCAGAAAACATTTGGAGTTAGTTACATTTCACTCCTAATGGATCTGGATGCCAAACATTCTTTACTCCGGAACTTGGGAGGGTTCCAAAAGAATGATTTAGGCCAGTTTCACTTCAAATGAAATTTTGTCCTTGCTTAACTCAACTGCTTGGTGAATTTTAAAGAACAGGCTTCCGAAACAGAAAAGGGGGAAAAAAGAAAGAAATGAGAAGAAATAGAAATGAGAGCATCTGAGTCCTTTTATTTTTATGGTGTTTAATTGAAGGGCCCTTTTATGGGGACTTCTGACATTTAACCTGTTACCCATGTTGTGTTTGACCGAGATGCCCAGAATGTGAAATCTGAAACCAGACAGAGCTTACTCCAGTTCACTCTCAACTCAACCATGTTTTGTCTGTCACCGAGTTTCATGCATGTCCTCAGAGAATCCAAAATTCATAGGAAAGCCTGTCATGAACAGTGAAGGCGCATTGTTGGGATCAAGTGCTAACTGTGCTTTCTGTCCTAATTAGAGAGCTGGGTGAATCCCTTCTTCCTAGTCAAAGTCCATGGCCTTTGTGCTAACCCATAAGTAGTTGTGAAAAGGAACATTTTCCTAGGGAGTGAGTTAATTGTGCTTCCACAGACCCTCCCCACGTTCAGAGACGTGGTCCTCCCTTCACCAAGCCTGTCCTCAAAAAGCACAGCCCCTCTGTTACTGCTGGTGCAGCCACAGCCTCCAGAAGGTTCCAGGGCTTTGTTGATGTGGCGGTCTAGGTCGACAGGGGTGTGGTGCGGAAGGTGGTACCAGCTGCCATAAGGCAGTGGAAGGCCCGATGCCCACACCAGCAGGTCAGTATCAGTGCTGATGGGCACCTCAGAACCCCACCATAGCCTAGGAGAAAGATGGGCCCAGACCTGTCAATACCTGTCAATAATTGCATAACGAGTTGCAGATTCCCGGCAAATGTCCTTTTCTTCCAGCAACATGTAAGCCTCTTACTTACGCTGTCCCGGTTGTGAGTAACGAAGAATATCTTCAACTGGGAACATACGTCCCTGAGTTTATCTCCCCACTGTGGCAAGCCACAGCAATTTGTTGTTTAGTCCAGTCGGTATAAAGCTAATCTAACCTAATTGTAATCAAACTATAATTAGAAGTTATACTTCCACAAATGATTTTTCTCCAACACAAACTTAGGGTAACACAATATATTCAATGGATGTGTGGAAGGGAAGGATTTTAGAGATGGCACATAATCTTAGACTGGGTCCCTTTCCTTATACATAATGAGTTTAATTTTTACCAGGAGTGCAGAAGCCCAGATACAGGAGATGGATGGCACAAGGCCCTAAGCTAGTTTCTGATACAGCCAGGACTAAAACTCTGACTGTTAAATGAGTAAGTTCATTCCGTCTCCTTTGGCAGATGCTGCAGTGCTGGAAACCCCACTTCATGAAAGCAAAACTGACACTTTTTAATTAGAACTTTACTTCATTTTTTTCTTTTGTACAATATAATATCTCTAGAAAAGCTTTTGATAGACTTGGAAGAAATTATAAACTCATCTCTTGGGGGTGGACTATATTTCTAACATCTTTGTGGGTGTGGCACTGACAGCAAAAACAGAAACAAGGCTGGGAGCTGCTGAAATGCATCTCAGCTGGCTCTCACAAACACACAGAACTCACCCAAAGAAAATTATAGAAACAATCTTTCCAGGAAATAGTGTTTGTGGAATAATCAAAATTAAAGGTGTCAAACTGTTGGAGATAGAATTTGAAAGGTCTGCCATGCATTTAAATGATGATTGGAAAAATACACTGAGGTTTTGGAACAAGCCCCAATTCTAGTTTATGAAGCCACACTCATACATGACTACTAAAGAGGTGAAAGGGGATCAGTCACACTCACTGAAACATTTCTAAACCAGGTAGCTTCAACAGAATCCAATATTGCAGTTAAGTGGTCTAGCTTGGTTTGAAACATGCTGTGAAAATGGCATCATTTGCACATCACTTTTTAAATATCAAGAACTCAACAGCATTTCTCTCCGCATTAAGACCCTTGTGGCACAGAAGCAGTGAGGGAAATAATATCGTTCTGTTACAAATAGGAGGAAATTGCTTTCAAAATCTGTCATCGGCAAAGTATGGTAACATTTGAAAAGGACTCTTCAGTAACATCATGAACAAAGACTGCTCAGTAAAAAGCACCCAGCATCATCATTGATTTGTCCAGAAACAGGGAGACTCGACAATTGAGAGTATATTGGGAAGGAAAACAATGGAAGCTCAACTGGAGGTAAAGTAGGGGGCAGAGGAGAGGTGGATAAGATAGACAGGAAGGTCAAACGGCTGGTGGACTCTCTACTGGAGATTCTGTTTAGCTTTTAATTTTTCAGATAAAAATATGGGATTTCATGGCTAGTTAAATAACACCTAGAAAGATCAGATGCCTTTTGTTAGAAGTATGCAATTTTGCTTTTGTTGTGACCCTAGCAGTCCATAGCTAAGTCTACAATAGACCCACATGGGGCAGAATTCTGCATCAAAGCAGCCTCGTTTCTCAGTTTTCTGGAACTGTGAACTGAGTCGTATTGTCAGGAAGACCAACAGCCTAATTATTAATATCAAGTGGAAACTGAACATCAGTGCAGGCGCTGAGTTCCAGAACCTCCCAAGACCTCCCTGATGCCAGCGCTGTGCTTGCTGTGGTTCATTCTCAGTAACTGTGGCTAATTTGCCCAGTTATGCAGTCTCAAGGGTCAGATCCACCCTCAAGACCAGGGCTCTGTTCTAGACCCCAAGACACCATAACGCCTTACTTAGTACTCAATACTTCTCTTCCTTAAAGGGCTAAATCACTTTCCCACCATCCTGGTACCACCTGGAACCTACTTTCCTATAAATACATACCAACTTTCCCTGACCACCACTTGGAATCCCTTTACATCATATTTTATTGGGTTGACATTCTGAAAACGAAGTCTATTGGCCTGAATGATTCCTTGGAATGACACTATCACTTCCTGAATCAGCCTCCCTAGGAAGGTAACTTTCAGAATGATGTGGGTCGGGGCCAGGGCCTTTTAAAAACACAGACTTCTGGGAATTGCTGTAGCATATTCTGATCAGTAGGTCAGATACTCTGGCCAGAAGTCTACAGTTTTAACAAACAGTCCAATGTTTCTAATGCATGTACCACCATTATTACATTACCATGCTAGAGAATTATGTTTTCTCTACACTGAGTTCATTTGTCCTATCTGGGATTGTATTTTAATACCGGATGTGCATATGCCTCAGGCTGTGAAAATACACATTGAGGCAATGGTTTTGTGTGTGTTGTTGTTTTTGCTTTTTTAAAAAATAAGACATAATGGTCAAACATGAATTCTGGAGCCAGACTACCTCATTTTGAATCAAAGCTTCCCAAAATACTGGCTTTAGGACCTCTAATAAGTTATTTAATGTTTTTGAGCCTTAATTTTATCATTATGTTTTCAAATAGAAGAATCTTTACATTTTTTATCCTAGCTTCTTGCAAATGTACTCTACCAACAATCTATTTCCTGACCTTTTTGTAAATATAATTTTCCCAATATGCACAATATGTGCAAAGATTAATCTAAAACGTATCTAAAATGCACACAATACACAGTGACAATGCTTTCTTTATGTTCCATATAAATCCATGAGAAATATGCCAACACTACAGTAGAAAAATGGGCAACATATGAACAAATAACACATATAAAAATAGCAAACGGTAAGTAAACACATAAAAATATTCTGTTGCTTTTGAAGTGAAACATGTAAATTAGAAGAGCAGTAAAACATCAATGTGATTAAAAAGGCTAATACCCTATGTTAGCACAAATGCAGGAGAATGGGCTTTCCCTGGTATCCCAATGGCAAAGCTGTGGATAAATGCAAACTTCATGGACAGCAGTGGCCAACACATTGAAGCAGTAAATGTTCCAACTTTTTGACCCCAAAATACCACTTTTACAAATACACCCTAAGGCAATGATAAGAAATAACTATAATGAGTTATATCAAAGGAAGTTTATTCCTACATTTTATGAACAAAAAATAATAACCTAAATGTCTCATAGTAGAAAATTGGCCACATAAATCACAATAAAGTCAAAAAAGTGGAATTTAGAAGACTATGTAATATGTAGTAGTAAGGATAAATGTTCAAGTAACAATAATGTAATGCAGTTTAGGATTCTATTTTTAAAGTGTGTGTATAGATGTTCATGTTATTCGTGCTATTGCTGGGTGGAGAAATTATAGGATGTTTTCTTCTTCCTCATACTTTTTAGCATTTCACATTATACATTTTAATAATTGAGGAGCTCATGCATGCATATTTATTCTGAGAAATGGGTTGTGATGGCAAGAATTTTTGGAGGCTTTAAGTTTCTCTCTCAAGTATAATACTTATTTTCATAAAACCATAATGTAATTTCTATAGCATTTATCTTATATTAAGGACTTATTAAAAAAGATATTTAAGGTGACCAAAACCTAGAGCCTTCATCTAACTGGGGAAAAATAAATAGTACTCCTGTAGAGCAGTGCCATATATAAAAGTTGAAAGCGTGTTGCCAGCCCGAGGGAGTCGTGCTATATCCAAGAGAGTTTGTGCTGGACAGCCACAGAGTTAGACTCAGAGGAAATCATAGCATTAGCATAAATGGCCTTCTATTGCAAAACTGGATATAAATTATTAATATTTTCATAAAGTAAGTGTTTAACCTAGTTTCACAAAAGCTCTTTTGGTAGCTACAAAATTAATCTCCTGGCATTGAGTATCTGTTAGAGATAAAAATCCTTTTACTTAGTATGCCCACAGTTTGTGCTATTCTGCTTTGGTATTCACTGAGTTTCATGGTCTGTCATTAATAACATGGAGTAAGAGGTTAATAATAATAAACACAGACCTTTGCATTATGTCATTCTTCTGAGAAACATTTTGAATGCTTCATAACATATATTAGTTGCTTAGTCAAAAATATTCAGATTTTCAAAAATATTTTGCACCTTCATAAAGTCATATGATGCATTTTTGCAAGTAATAGGTGTTAGAACTCACAACCCCTTAATTCCCTCAGGTATAGAATAAGGATAATGGAGCTTACATGACACAGCATTACATATAATCATATATGGAAAGCTATTAGCACAATGTCACTCCCCAATTTTACAAGAATTAATCAACTCTTTTGAAGCCATTTAATTGGCATTTTATAACATTGTTATACTTCCCAAGCTATAAAACTGCCCAATAAAATATATTAAAAATTATCCTTGTGGAAAATTTGAGTCTCAGTTCTACTATGCTGGTGAAAGAATGGCTTTTCATAAACCAAAGAACGGCAATTCTATATGTTCATTAAGGGTAAGGCTCTGTCTCTCTCACTCTCTCTTTCTCTCATACACACAAACACACATACACGTACAGTAGGCAGTAATACTCACCCTAAGGTGCTGAAAAGTATAATCTCTGCATCACTTCTCTTTTCGGTATGGGGTATCATGTCAGCTAGACATGACCTCCTCCAAAGCAAGCAGCCTCTCCTTTAAGAACCCATGATGCCTGTTAGTTGGGGAGATGGATTTGAGGCAGCTTCTCCCATTCTCCTAGCAAGACGTCTGTTGTACTAAAAATTTCTTTCTTCCAGCAAGATGTCTATCATATAAAAAATTCCTTTCTTCCTTGGCAATCCTATTGTTTCAATAATTAGACCATGGTGCAATGAGCAACCTGATCTAGACCAAAACCCCCTTGAGATTTGGACAACAGCCTGGATCCATTTCTTCTAGACAGTAGTTCAGACAATGAGTGGATGGGGAAGAAAGGGGCTTCCATGATTGAAGGATTTGTGATGATATTGTCCACCCGAGTGTGGTGGGACATGGAGGGTGAGGACAAAGAGGAGGTCTGGCTGGCCAACATGCACGTCTGAGCTTCAACGTCCCTGTCCCAAAGGACACAGCCCCTGATGGGATCATGCGTTCCACAGGTCACATCACGGTGCGTTTGACTGAGAGAACTTTTGTTCAACAAAAAATCATAGTTCTACCTAAGTAGGGAAATTCAAAGTTCTGTTTTACAATAAGGCATGAAATACGGTAATTGCTTAGAGAAATTCATGGTACGTTTTTATTATTATTACTTCTTCAGCCTGCTGGTGCTCTTTGATTCATGAGGCAATTGCAATAGTGAGAAAGAAAGTTGCCCTTGTTTCTGGTTACGCTGAATGGTATTATACCTAACAATTAAATGGCAGAATCAACTGTCATAATAAAAAGAAATAGCCATTATTAGTTCTTAAAATTTCTTTGTGTATATTTTCCATCATGAACAAATAACTGAGACAAGTACAATTTTAATACAAAGCTATTCATGGGTAGGTAAAGACTACACTTTAAAAATTATTGTGGCTTAATGCACTGGTTTATGTATTATAAATGCTAATTTTATTGTTCGACTAGAATATTTCTGTTTCAGTTGTTTCTATTTTGATCAAAAAGCATTTATTCTGAGTAGATAGTTGTCTAGTAGTGATTTATAAATATTATATATTTTATGGTGAAGTGGATTTTATTCAAGTGGAATGCCATACTTCTCAAACCATGCAGAGTAATTTTTTTTTTAATTTTTGTGAATAAAACATTATATACAACCCAATGAACTATTTTTTTTATTCTACTCTATAAATAACCTCAGATAATCTCTTTGGTCTTACAGGCCAAGTTATTTACAGAGCATTCTTTTAATCCTCATAAGTCTTAGCCATTTCTTTCTAAGTCATCAATTATATGAAACTAGACAGTCCACACACCATTTGAAAACAGCATATGATACAAATTCTGGGAATTAAATGTTTTGACCCTTCTATAAGTGTCCTTTAGACACTTCCTTTATAGAGGAAGAGGGTTTTCTTGGTCTGGGGGGGGGGTGTGGGTGTACATGCATTTATATATGAGAGAGAACAAGAGAAAGAAAGAGAGAGGAAAAAAAGAGAGGTGGGGGAGAAATTATTTGCTTTAGAAGTGATCTTTAACATGAAAAGTTAGGGAACTCAATACACATTTAATGCATACTTGCTTCCAAGGGGAAATTTAAGAGCTGACCATACCGGTGACTTGGTACTCAGGCTTCTCTACTACTGAGCACCTTCAATCCCTTCATTCTTGACCTTGTTGAGAAGTCATTAGATAATCATCTGGAACACAAAACCAAAATATCTCTTCAGGGCAGATACAGAAAACAGAAAGTATAAAATACCAATGCACCCTTTTCCTTTTTTTTCTTTTTCTTTCATTGTTAAACACTTGTTACCTTAAGCAAAGCAAGACTTAGGTTGAGTGAATGTTATTATTCTTGTTTTCTAGATGAGGATATTGGATGTCCAGAGCCATTGAATACTTTGTCACTTAATAAGAACCCAAGGAGGCAGAATGGATCCAGCTCTCTTCAGGGCTCTTCTAGTTCCTCATGGGTACAGACCTAAAATTCCAGCCGTCAACGTGGCCCACATCAGGTGAGGAACCTGCAACAGTAGAGTGCAGCTTTTAGCCTTATATCCTTTTAAACAATTAGGTCTGTGCAGAAGCCACCTCAAAACTGCAAGTTCTACTGACTGGAATTGTGAGTACTCCTTTTCAAGCCATGTCGTGTTCCTTCCTGTGGTGTCAGGGCTTCTGTGGGCTTGGCCCTGACCTACACACCATCCCCACTTGGCTTGTATGTGAGCCACAGTCCGAGGGACTGTGCAGGCTGGAATCCCTGCCAGGAAGTGGTACCACGTGGCCCACGGCTGAGCCTAAGCGAGGCACCTCTCCTCTGGGTGTGGGAAGCTTCCAGGTAACTCCATATCTGCATGCAGAAATCTTCTGTCCACTTTCTCCTGTAGACTCAAAGGACTTTTCTTTTATCTCCCCCTCAACAGAGATTAAATTTCATCCCTTATTAGCACATAGCAGTGTTTTGCTCAAAGTAGGCATTAAATCATTGCTGATTGAACAGTTGGAATAAAGACATAGAGAAATACATCCGGGTCATTTCATGACTTCACCAACAGCCACTTATTCTCACTTAATTCTGGTCTGCGTTATAATTTTCTGTGGACATAACAACTGCCACTCAAACCCTTCCTGTTCATTACATTAGCACATGCCAAAGAAAAATTTTAACAGAGAAGTCTGCTAGAAATAGGGCTTGAATTTAGAATATTATCTTGGCTGCATGTGACTTGGCAGGATTGATAAAAAGAATTACAGAAAGTCATGATTGTTTTTCCTTAAGAACTATCGAAGTCCTATTCTAGCCATTTTCTAGTACCACTGTATTAGTGGATATTTGCAGCTTATAAGCACTCGATTTATGAGAAAATACTGAGCATTAAATATGAATTCCTATTGTTTATTCCTAAATCAATACCCATAAAGCATTAAAATCACTTTTCACATTTTGCTGCCCTTGAATTGGCAATGTTGTTCACAGCTCTGTGAGAACATGGCACTTTTTGACATTTGTAGAAATAGCAATTACCCGTAGTAAGAAACATGAAAAGGCCCCAGTCAGCCTGTCTCACTTAAACTATGTCCAATGACATGATCAAAATTGCTTTAGAAACATAGTTACTCAACTGAATAACTATCAAAGTAATAAACCTGAGGAGGAAAATCCATTTTTGCTGAACCAAATAGGAGCTAAATGCTATGCCAACATCATTGCGATGGAGCAGAGCATAGATTTGCCTTAAATCTCAAACAAAACATGAAAAAAGTAAGGTTTTCAGCATTTTACCTTATAGTCCCATATTCTTCATTCCTAAAATAGAATGTAATTGAAAAAGTGTGATTGTTTAGGTAGACAGAGACACATCGGACAATTCTGCCAAACCTAGGATGGGTCTGTAACAGAGCTTGTTTTCATTTAATTAAGGTAGATCCTTAGGGCTGGGAGGTTATTATCTGCATTTTAAGTCTGCATGTCCAAATTCTACAGTTCAAGCTAGGCTGCCAATTTTCAAGGCAATTCTGGCCATGAAGTTCATTTGATGCTTCTGAACATGTGGCAAACATCCGCCACTGTCCCCTGCTGCCCTTCCTCCTTCAGTGTGTACTCTCGGTTCATCTGGGAGCTGCTAATCTATTGTTTCCATAATTGGATGTAACCAGTGTTGTCTTGTGTTCTTAGGTTTGCTTTTACGCAGGTGCTGCTTCTAAAGTCCATTCCCTCACTTTGCCCTTTCTCATGCATTATTTTTGGTTCCTCTGCATTTTTATAAACTTTAAAAAAAAATACTACCAGCCATATCAATAAAATCAAAAATGTGCAAATTTATATATCATGGTAGACTCCCAGTATCCAGCCACCCGTCTTCTTTTCCTGAGAGATTTTATAGATTTCTTATGTATCATACTCAATAATTTTACTCTCATATGAACATATTTTCTTTAACCCACACTTATAAACCACACTACTTTGCACTTGATTTATTGAATTAGCAAATATAAAATGCATCCTATATCCATGTATATAGAAACATTAATGAGGTCAACAAAATGGTGTACTAAGAAGTTCCAGGCCCTATGCCCCCAGAGAACCATCAAAAACAGCCAGAGATCTGCCAAAATAACCTTATATGAGTTCTGAAAACTAACAAAAAGTCCACAGCATCTAAGTGAACACCCAATCAGGAAAAAGCTACATTTGGAAAGGTAGGAAATTTCATGGCATATTTACTCACCCTGGGCAAATGCTCACCCCCACCCCATCAAAACAGATATTTGTTCACCTATGTTCATATGTTCATAGCAGCATTAGCCAAAGGTTAAAACAAACAAAAAAAAATGTCCATCAACAAATAATTGGATAAACAAATGTGGTATTAATATAGCCATGTGATGGAATAGTATTCCACTTAAAAATGGATGACAGTTGAATACATGCCATAACATGCATGAACCTTGAAGGCATCATGCTAAGTGAAATAAGGCAGACACATAAGGACAAATATTATGATTCCATTTATATGAGGTACCTAGAATAGTCAAATTCATAGAGACAGAAAATAGAATGGTGGTTTCCAGGGGCTGGGGACAGAGGAGAATGAGGAGTTTTTGTTTAATGGCAACAGATTATGTAGTGCAATTTAACTTATTCCTTGTTGATAAAAATGAATGTTCATTGTTGCCATTTCATATTTATAATATGATTTCTTTTTAGCAAATTTTTGGAGATAAGGACATTTGGAGAGAAACCATCTTGAAAGGATTCTCTTTGGCCAAATCTGGAACTGAAGGATCAAAATAAATAATAATGTTTACAGATTACATCCCACTGAATAAAACAGGAAACCATGAGTTTAAGGAAACCACAGTTAAATAAATTAGTGGGAAGAAGAAAAAGCTCTCCTTACAATAGAACACCAATTAATGAATATGTAAGAGGAATTATGGGATTAGGAAATCACTATTTGGCTTAGAACTATAATTAATCAAGACAAGAAGCATCAGTGGATGCTAAAATAGTGAATGAAGATTGAATGAATAATGGGAATCTGCAAAGTCCCTAAGTGGCTCTCCACAAAGTACTTATAGTATCAGAATAAACAATATCTTTATAGTGGTGAAACATGACAAAGTTGCCATCCATGGGGTGGGACAAAATTGACATGATTTGTCCCCTGGTAGCATGCAATGGAAGGAGACAGCACCAGTTTTCATATTATACTTTTCTTGCCAAAAAGGCCATTACCTGAATCTAATTATGAGGAATAATGAAGAGCATTCAACATCATAATTGACCTATAATCTTCAAAAATGTTAGAGTCATGATGTTCTGGGAAGGACCGAGGGAGAGTTCTGGTTTGGAGGTGGCTGAAATGCTCTGACTCCCACATGCAGCATGGGATGCTGGACTGGACCATTCTGCTGAAAGGGACAAGAGTGGAGCAGACAGTGAGCACCAAATGGCTGGACAAGGATGTGGGGTATACAGTTTCCTATAATCTTAAATTTATATCAAAATAAAACATTTTCAAAGCAAGTTTGAGTGAAAAGATTGTTTTCCTGCCTCCCTGCCCCCACCTGCTGTGAACTATATGTGGCTATGGGATTTATCTATTCCTTAACATCTTTAGAAAATGTTCTCTATTTATTTATTTTTTTTAATTTCAGAATATTATGGGGGCACAAACATTTTGGTTACATATATTATCTTTGCATCGCCCAAGCCATAGCTACAAGTGTGCCCATCCCCCAGACAGTGTGCTCACACCCATTAGTTATGAATTGATCCATCCCTTCCACCTTCCTCACACCTGCCCAGCACCCGACGAATATTATTTCCATGTGTGCACCTGAGTGTTCATCAGTTAGTACAAATTTGATGATGAGTACATGTGGTGCTTGCTTTTCCATTCTTAGGATACTTCACTTCAAAGAATGGGCTCTTGCTCCAACCAGGATAATACAAGAGATGCTAGCTCAAGACTGCTTTTTGTGGCTGAGTAGTACTCCATAGTATACATATGCCACATTTTATTAATTCACTCATGTATTGATGGGCACTTGTGTTGTTTCCACATCTTTGCAATTGTGAATTGTGCTGCCATAAACATTCGAGTGCAGATGTCTATTCATTTTCTAATGTAATTTACATTACTATACATTCTCTCTCCTGAAATCAGTTTTGGTATTTGGTATTTTGCTAGTTTATCCATTTTATCCAGATTTTTCTGATTTATTTGCAGAGCATTTGAATCTTATAATTACTTCTCTGAGACTTTAACCATTTTACCACATCTCTCTTTATCTTAATTAATTTATTGTTTTATTTTATCCCAAAGACATTTTGAATATATTTATTGATCATAGCTTTTTTTCATATTTTGATTCATTAGCTTTTGCTTGTATCTGCACTTCTTTCTTCCTTCTGTTTTCCTTGAGTTTATTGTCTAATTTCCAAAGTTATTAAGAATAATATTTAATCCATTTATGATTTTGTTTATTAAAGAAGGAAAAAAGCAAAAAGGCATTGATTATCCCCTGTCAATTTAATTAACATAATTTCTGTATAGTCTATAATTTTTCTATGAGTTCCTCGTTGACCTAAGTGTTGTTAAAGAAATTTTCTTTCTTTTCTTTTTTTTAAATTGCTAGATGACTTTTTGATTTATTTCTACTCTTTTTATTATAATTTTTAGTGTATTGATTTGTAGTAGATGATAGTGGCTATGCTATTTCTTTATTTGACAGATTTTACAATTTTCTTTATGGCATATATGACATATAATGATTTCTTTGTGTGTGTAGATTTTTCAAGGGATTTGAAAGAAATTGTGTTCTCTAAGAGTTATAGTCAATAAATCTAATTTATTAATAGTTTAATTTAATTATAGTATTTAAGACAACTACATTCTTACCTATTTTTGACCACTGAAGCTATCTTGAAAATTGAGTATCAGTCAAATTCTCCCAACTAATATATTTATATCGATTTATTATTGATAGGATGCATAGAAATCCATGAATGATAAATTTTCACCTTGAGTTGCATTCCAATCATCACAGTTGTCTTTCAGTGATCTTTTAAGCAGTATTTTGTCCTGAATTGTGCCAGGTTTGTGGATGACAGGTTTGTGGGCCCAATCGTCTTGTTGACATCATGGTGGTGGCGGCTGTGGTGGTTGTTGGCAGCTCTGATACGCCTTTCTGCATCTCTTTATATTTCTTTATAATTTGTCTCATTAAACGCTCCTAAAAGATAATTGTTGCCATTAAAATACATCACAGTCATTAAAAACATTTTAGTCACTATAGTCATTTTTTTAAAGCAGACATTGAATTTTTATTATTTTTAGGAATAAAAAATTTTAAATGTCATGTTAATTACAAGAGAAAATCACAGACATGTATTTCACAGTAGTATATTTGCAACAAAAATATTTTATTATTTTAAGTAATTCCCTTGAGCCTAGAAATTATATTATATATAAACACATCTTAGTTTTGTAAATTTGACAGCAAAAAAGTCTTTTAACTTTTTGCTTTGAAAGGCAAGAAAATAAAAGTTGTCGCTCATGAATGAAGAAAAGACAAGTTTTAGAGTGACTTATTTGTCTCCACTTGATTAGTTAGCAGATATATTCTTAGCTTAGCTGCCTTATAATAAACATTGCAATTCCTTAGCTAACATGAAGGGGAAAAAATACTGTGCAGTATTACATAGAGCCTAAACAAAATCCTTTTTCATTCAAATGATTCTCTTTATAGTTTTCTTTTAATTAAAGCTGATCCCCTGATTGTAGGAAAACATGCATTATTGATTTCACACATTCCTTGACCGAAAAGAAGTTTAAATTATTTTGTACCTATGTTCTACTTAAAAGAAAAGGACATACTTATTTTTTCCTCCCCAATTTCACACAGGCATCATACCCAGAGGAAAGAGGGATTCTGTGTCTCCTTAAAAGAGTGAATGACATTTTAAAGGTGTTTCTTTAGGGCACTTTGCGCAGCTTGTAGGTCAGAACCGGATGCCATCCCCATTGCTATAAAAGGAGGACAGGATTCCGTTTGCTCCCATTTGAGGAGAATTCACCACCACGGTGCCAAGGCACCAACACAGACCGCGGTGGGTCAAGGTGTGCTGAGTCACTGCCACGCTCCATCAGGGGACCCAGAGAGCTGAGAACCCCACCAGCCTGGCCTTACCTGATCACCCCAGCGCTCAGTAGTATTCCCTTTTTTTTCTTTTCTTTTTTATTGTACAACTCAGTGTACAACATAATGTTTTGAAGTACTTACCTATGTATACCATGGCCAAACAAATTAACATTTGTTTTTTTATCCATCAATTATCCATCATATCGCACAGTTCTTTTTTCATTTCTTCTTTTTCCTTCTCCTCCTCCCCCCCCCCTCTTCTTCTTCTTCTTCTTCCTCCTTCTCTTTCTTCTTCCCCTCTCTCCCTACTCTCTTGGTAAAGTGCCACTACACAACACAGTATTATTAACAGTAGTCCTCATGTTGGAAGTTAGATCTCTAGATTTATTCATGGGGTTTGGAAGTAAATAGCTTTGGAAGACCTGATGACACCACCCGGCATTTGGAGATGCGTGGCCCTTGCCCAGGCGCCGTGTCAGGAGTGAGCGCTCCGTTCCCCAGCAGTGGGGAGTGCGTCCGCAGATGACCCACAGCTGAGCCCTTGCACACACTCATTCCTTGGGAGAGAGCTGTGCTGCCCGAGGTCATGCTCCCATCCCCGTGCGGCCCACACTCGGCCTCTGTTTGATGTGGAGCCTACATCCTGGCCTCACTGTCTGAATTTGGGACCCCGGAGAAGGGGCGTCTCAGGGTGTCAGAGTCCCCGAGGCCTGGGCTGAGGCTCCTGCCCTGTGTCTGTATCACTCATTCCTCGTTTCCTCACCCCAGACCCTGTTTCCTGGGAAGTCCAACCTCATGTGAGATTTGCCCCAACAGCGTAACAAAGTCATCTGCATGAAAAGTAGATTCTCGAGCAAAACCAACACTGTGTTAACAGAGAATGGGGAAATGAATTGGGGGTAAACAACTGTGCCTGACATTTTTCTAAAAATTGTTTGGCTTTATGCTGAATGACATGGTTCAACCCTACAGCCATACAACACAAATTTCAATTACAACTCTAAGGACATGTAGCAAGAGGTGACCAATGATCATCAGGCCATCACGAGAACTGTTATAGTCATAGGTTAGGCCTGAACCATCATAGGTGAAAATAGGAATAGTAATCCCATCTTTGACAGATGGGGTGGCAAGGGTACACTGTGTAGTGATTTGCCAGTTGGCATGGGTGGGGTTACACAATGTCAATGTCAAGGAAACCCAGACTCCCCTGTGTACCAGTGCCCTCTAATAAGGTAGCCACCAGCCACAAGGGATCGCTGAGCACTAGAGGTCTGGCTAGCCCAACTTGAGACATGCTGTAAGCACGAAATACGCATTGGATTTCAAAGAAGAGTGTGAACAAATTTTAAAAGGTAAAATATCTCAATCAGTTTTTCACATTGACTCCTTACTAAAATGCTATATTTTGGGTAGATGGGGTTAAATAAACTTTATCATTGTAATTAACTTCACCTATTCCTTTTGTCCTCACTCGCACGTGACTAATAAGTTATAAATTACATACATGGCTCTCATCTACAGCTCCTTTTTCTTCCTAGTGCTATGCTTCTGTCTTTTATGCACTAAACACATTTGTCTCCTGTTAAAAACAAGCAGCAAAAGACATAAGTCTTCAGAAGTAGTCTGACATAAAAAGAAAATCAGAACATATTTTGTTTCTTCTGGCTTGGAATTTCAGGTGGCAAATTCCCAGAGTATTTTATTTGTCTTCAATTAGATTTTAAATGTTCCTTTTAGTCACAATCAAAAAGACATCTTCTTAATCAGTCATATCTATTATAACTGTTGGGATAATGCAATTTGGTGTAATGGCATGAAATTAAGATTTAGTATATTCAAGGATTGTTATTCTCCCTTAAATGAAATACATGCAAAGAACAAAACAACTCTGAAATTTTACATTTAACAAAAAAACTCAAATCTACTATTCTTCCCCATTATTGAATTAATGTCTCCAGCAACAATACTAAAAAGGATAAAACAGTAATTTAGGCTTTAGGTTATAATTTTTTTACTGGATGAAAGCAGGTACGGGATTTATATAATATGAAGTATGTTTAATAGATGATGATAGTATAAAACAAAGAAAATGAAACATAACAAGATAAACCATAAAATGCACAAAAAGCAATTTGAATTGCTTTAACCTCTAACAATCAAGCTGTTGGAATATTCAAGTTATTACCTAATTATATTTAAGGATTTACATGTGAATTCCAAACACTCCCCAAATAATCTTCTTGTCATCTCCCAAGTCACCAGCATTCTGGGAGCTAAGTTAGAAACACACAAAACACATTGCCTAGTTTAATAATAGCTAGACTTGTCGAATACAACAACTCCTTCACTCTGGCAGTCTAACGAAGTTATTTTAATTTAGCTCTCTTAATTGCTTCATATTGTAAATTTTAATGTGCCATGTGTAACAGTTTTCTTTCTAGTGATTTTTCTTGTAGAAGTCATTGTCACCATTAGATTTTGAGATATTTTCTCATTTTTTATTCTCAAAGGTACTGAATTTATGCTCACTTAAAACTACATGATTAATGACTCTGTTAGCTGCATGATAAAATTTGAAAAGAATAAGCACAAATCACTTAACTAAAATAAATGAGACTTTTTTGTTGTTAATTAAGAGTAACATATTAAGGTCATAAGCTGTCCAGTTCCCAAATCACTCCTTATTTCCCTCTGGCTGACAGTTCTTTTTGTCTGTTTAATTTATTATTAAAGAAATTAAATACATACGTATTTTAGTTTTCTTAAGAATTCATAATTTGAGACTCATTAAGGTCACTAAGCAAAAAACTTATTTATACAGTCATTATAGAAATGTAATTTAAAAGTCACAACATTCCCTTTCCTTATAAAAATGTAACTCCATATAATATTAAAAAAATATTTTTGCTTAGCAATGATAGTTAATTTCCCAGTATACCATATCTCCAGAATAGTCACAGCAACCCCAGGAACATGGTCCTTGGCAGTGGTGGATGCAGGGGACACATTAAGATTAATGTCATAAGCTCTGCCTACAGAGCATGTTCTTTCCTTACAAATTCAGTAGGGATTAAAAAACAAAGCAAAAATAATTATAAGGAAATATTGCACTGTCTCTAAAGTCAACAGAAACGTTCTGGACGCTTGCATCCCTTTGCGTGTATAATTCTGTTGCACCATTCACTGATTCAGGGTCAGAAGCAGTTTGGGGATATTGGGAAAGAACACGTTGGAGTTGAACGCTTACTCCACGTTCAGCCACCGATTGAAATGAGACTGCCCTGCATGCATTAAACCTATTGTGCATTCATGGTTAAATATGTTACCAATGTTCAACAACAATATATTTAATTACTAATCATTCTGAATTAGGACTTGCACAGAAGAATTATCCACTTGTTAAGCAGCTCAGATTCTTGCTATATGCTTAGTGTTTGTGTAGCCCTTGCCATTTTTAATGATTTTTCACATGTAATTTCCCCTTTAGCACATGTGACAAAAAAATAAATACAACATATACTCTTGACTTACAACTTTAAAATTGAATGGAAACACTCTTATTACGACAAGATTTCCTATTGGCTGTCTACGTAATTCATACAACAGATACAGATATCATACAAGGTATCTGGTAGTTCAGATGGCATTAAGGTCTGATTCAGATCTCTCTAGAATCAAAAGAATGTACTAACATATTAAATGGATGAAAACATTTTTCCCTTCCTCCTTCAGATTTATGAAAAAGACCAAATTGAGTAGGATATAATTGAATGATAAAGATACTTTATTCCAACATTGTTCTTTCGGTGCAGCCAAATATCATAAGATTTCATTGTACTGTTTATAAAATTCTGTATTTCATCTTGAGTATTTCAAGTGTATTCATAACAAAAAGTTATATTTTACTGCTTTACTTATTAGGAAAATTTAGGACAAGTAAAATGATCGATCATGTCTACACCTTTTGCATAACGCTTTAACCATGGCATGGATTCATATTCATTATCTCTGTTCCAAATCATAGAAACTATTCAAAGTTGAAACCAATTGCTGACCTCAAATTACAAAATGCCTTTCAATTGGTTCTTATCTTTTAAATAAGTTGTAACCATATTAATCAAATGATTATAACAATTAATCAAAAGAAAAAGATCTTTCAAAGAAAATTGTCTTTCTACATTGTTACATCATAGGTTCCAAAAAGATTCTAAGTACCCCTTAATATTGTTATAGTTGTCTACTCTATTTGCTACCCTACTTTTGAGTTTTTAAATTCCTAGATCGTCAGAAGAAAATGAAAATATTATTTTTTATTTATGTACAATTAAATTATCCAAATGTGTTTTTTAGGAGAGCTATTTGATGTTCGTAAAAACTTGTAACCTTCAAAGATGCTTTTCTTTCAAGAAACAAGTTGTCTTTTGCCAAGTACAAACAAATTTCAAACCCCAATGGCTTTTATGTTCAGTTTGAAACTCATGGCATCATTGTAATAAATTCTTCATTGGAAAATGGATGTTTACCCTTCATATGAAGATGATACTGCCGCATGATATTTGGTCATTTCTTTCTAATGGAGAAAGTGCCATATTCATACTTTCTAATTATTTATCATAATGATGTGAAATCTGGAAAGAGAAAATAGAGAAAAACAGGCTGCTATGATATTTTTAAAATATTAAAAGACAAAAGTCTTGTTTCATTATGCAAAATATTCAATTCTGCTTTATTCTGATTTCTCTCTCTCTCTCTCTCTCTCTCTCTCTCTCTCTCTCTCTCTCTCTCTCTCTCTCCATGTTCTGTGCCTACCGGTTTCAAATCCAGAGGTACTGAGTGAGGCAAAAGTAAGGAAGTGAAAGAAATCCACCTTATATTCCAGTCTCAGTTTTATTTTAGTGTGATTTGGTAAAAAAAAAAATGCACAAAACTAAGATATGAATGGAATTCCAACTCTAGTTATTTTTATCATCTAATTTTTCAGTTATTTTTACTTATTCATTTATTTTTTAAACAAAATTCAAGACTCACCCTTCTAAGCATATAATTCAGTGGATTTTAGTATATTCACAAAGTTGTGCTATCACCATCACTGTCTAATTCCAGAACATTTTTGAAACTACATGTCCATTAGCAGTCA